CCGGTTCGAATCCGACCTATGGTCCTCTGCCTCATGTCTCTCATACCCCCTTTCCTGTCAGCCTACTGTCAGAAAAACAAGTCACTAGTGCCGTAAAAACAAAAAAAAAAACATTAAAAAAAAGCAAAGAGACAAAAAGAAAGATAGACGATAGCCTAGCACAGAAAAACGCCCCCCACTCTACACTCATGGGAAATCAGTGACTCAGAGAAACAAAAAGAAAAGAAGAATGAGACTGAGTACATCTACAGCAGAAAAAACGAAGTTGCAACTAGGGGTGCAACGATTTATCGTCTGGCCAATCGATCGGCCCTGATCTACCCCCGTAAAGGTCTGACACCCACCCATAGTTGATGCCATAAAGCAGTTATTATAGTTTTAATTATTTCACAGATAAAACAAAAACAAATATTAATGTTTTTTTCAGTGAAATATGACTGAATTGTCTTGTGATCTAAACTGCTGCCAGTGACATTTATAAAAAGGAAATCTCTGTTGGTCAAAATCGGAATCGGCAGGTCAAGAAAAAAAAAAATCAGGAATCAGTAATCAGTCATATAAGGGTATCCTGGAAGACAAAAGGAAACGGCTTGGATCAAAGTGTTTTAATCTGTTGGAATCACCCAGTCAGACTGAAAATCCGATTAAAAATTTTATGCCAGCCTTAAAAATTGTGGTTTATAAATTACAGATAGTGTTCCTTAAATCTGACTGTATGTGCTGTCAGCAAAGAAAAATAAACAGTCTAGATATTCAAAGATGACGAACTGGAGAACACTGCAGCCAAATGTTTGTGCACAAAGCATCGCCTGAAGAAAAGTGGATGAATATAAATGAACCCCTTAAATTTTTATTGTTAAATAAACAAAACTATGCATCATTTATTCCCTTTGATCTCCCAGTTATGAAGCTCATTATTTTGACTGATTACAATCCCCCAAAAAATAGAGGTATTTGTTATAACTTGACAAAGTTTAAGTTGTATAAATAGTGAAACTTCTGCTTATATCATTACAAGTTGATCAAAGGGATTGATCTGCAGCAGATAAAAATAGAATCGTTTAACTACCATGAAGGCTTCAATGTAGCGAAAATCCTTGTGTTTTAAAGCTCGCCTCCAAGCAACAGAAGTGAGGAAATTTACCACTACAGATGACAATGAGGAACTCTTTGCTCACTGAACTACAGCAAATGGAAGATTTATTGTTCATGCAGCATGGGGTTTTCTATATAAGATACTTAACAAAAATGTAATAAGCTGCATTTTATTGAATTGTTATAAATTATTTGCAGCTCTGAACAACTTTCACTCAGCCAGACATGGAGCAAAATGGCTATCCGGATTTTAAAGGGCTGGTTAACCTCCCACAGCAGTGTGTTGCAGTGAGCTTGTTGCAGATAGTTTTGATTTCTGCCCAATATTGAAGCGTGGTCTGCGGTATGTTATTCCACGCCACAACGCAAGAGGGACAATCAGGAACTAGCTGTGGGTCTAGATACGGCCGAGGCGGTGAGGAAGTGGGGGCAAGTTTGTACGACAATGGAGGGACATGAGGGCCAAAAAGAGCGGGGATCCAGGTGGAAAAAGGGTCCCAGCGTTCTCGCGCACCTCGCTCTTCTAGCTGGTCTATCTTCCCAGGTTTTTCACAATGGCGGTCATACAAACAAAACAAGCCGGTAAGGTAGCAAACAGTAAATACGCATAATGTAGAGAACGGATGTAGATTAGACCAATCAGAGGCCTCCTGTCTGCGGTCGCCTACAATGTTGGAGAGGTGCAGCAGAGTTTCTGCAGCAGGGGCACATTTGCGTTCACTGCGACACACTCAGACCACCTGGTTTCTGAGTATAAACCAGCCTTAAACGTTGAAGACCCCTGATCTAGCAGCTCAGAGATCAGGGATCTGCCCATAGCTGACAAACGAACAGAGAGCTGTAGATTAGTGTCATCCACCTCCCACTGCCACAGCTCACATTCAATTTTTCACAGTTATCCCCTGAAAATCCTCCAGCAGAGCCAATAACAGTAATAAAATGCTTAAATACTAAGGTAATTTCTCCACCTTATCCAGAAATACCACCATGACTCTGTAATATCTGGGAGCAGACAACCCTCGGCGTAGAATAGGTGAAGCATTCCCATCACAGCAGGCTGATAGAATGTTATATGGAGAATAAAAAAAAAAAAAAACATCTCCTTAAGCTGGGAGCTATTTTTGGGGATCCCCCTGGAAAAGCATTTGCTGATTTAGTGACTAACAGCTTATCACCGACGAGGCCGGAGCGAACAGCCCTGGGCTCCACAGATAAGCAACACTGGTGGGGATTCAGAAACATTTTCACCATGAACCAGCTTTAGGCTTAAAGAAAGCAGAAAGTAAAATATCTGTATTCCTTTTAAAGTGTAAATAAATGTGTTCTCAGTTTATCAAACCAAATAAATTATTTTAATTAAACAACCCAAGTCTGAAATAATTAAAAACACAACTAAGCAAAAATAGGTGTCAATAGTAATGAAAAAATATCAGTGTTTCATTTACTCTGAGACGCTGAAGGCGTTTCCACACGCTGTAATATTTCCATGCAAGAGATTGAAAGACAAAAAACACAGGCTAAATATTAGATTTATATTCTGACTTTTAATTCAGGAGGGATCAGTGGAAGCTTGGCGTATGAGTGACTCGTGTTCAATGAAGTAACAGAGGAGAGATGCACTGCGCTGTGACTACAGAAATAGGCGGCAGCTGCTGCATCCAAGTCCCTATTGTCCCATTTACACTACCCCTCTGAAACCGATCTTTGCCGAGTTCTTACGACGGCTTTACACATCACGCTAGCACGGTTCCTCACCTCCTAGTGACAATCTACGGTACTACTGCCCTCTAGAGGGAGAGCATGGCGGCGGCACCCGTAACATTCAGGAAGTGTGGCGATATTTGTGATATTTCGTTGTTTGCAGAGAGTCAGGTGAAGAAGGCAGCCTTTGGTGAATTTACTTGACAGAGTCGGCTTTTTGGAAGTGCATAGGACAAACGACAGTCTAATCAGGGCTTACAGATGCAAGAAACAACGACAGGAGTTTATGTTCATCAAACTGCTAAGCAGAATCATCACTGGACATTGTGTGGCACGGTAGGGAAGCTAGTTTTTAATGAATGTCTGAAATTCCATGATTACGGAGTCTGACTGTAAGGAGATGACGCAGTCTGCTCAACCGCTATTTGTTATCTGAGAATCGAGCCTCAACTGAACCGTGCCGAGACCTACTGATGAACTAGTACCAGTTTAGCGCAATTAGGTTGTGTCTCATTAACACTCCAACCGTTATACGGCTTACAATACTCGGACCGATCTCGGCACGGTTTCAAAAGGGTACTGTCAATGGGGATTATGTGTTGGAGGAGGGAGTGGCTCATTCACCAAGTGTCTGATGTAGACTGTAAATTCAGAACAATCAGTACTATGATGTGTTGTCACCAAAGTCTTCATCAAGACAGGAAAATGTCACTAAGTTTGTCACTAGTTGCTTTTTTGAAAAGCAGTCGCTAAAGACTCTAAAAAGTCGCTAAATATAGGTGCTAAGTCAGCAACAATGCAGAGGCAGCCTTGCTGTTTGTTTTTATATGCCGACGGCAGCCATGAGACGTCAGAAGGCCAAATATAACTCTAGCTCCACAGTGCAATCATAGAAGGTAGGAAGACTTTTTACATGTGTTGACCAAAACATTTAAAATGTGTTTTGTTAAAAATAGGGGGATTCTCTTTACACACACTTTAAATAAACTAGGGCTGCAACTGATGATTATTTTGTAAATCCATTAATCTGTCGATTTTTTCCCCCGATTAACCAATTAATAATCAGATAGAAAAAGGTTCCTTAAAAAAGAATTTTTATGAAATTAATCCAAGTGAAAATAAATCTTTTCCACTTGAGCAGTGCTGGATAGATCATACTGACAAATGAAAAGGATTTTTATCTGAAATGCAAAATGTTTACACAATTTTTTGTACAATTTTGATATAATTAATGCTCTAAGTGGGTTGTTTCATCAGCCAAAGGCACATTTTAAAGTCTACACTCCAGCTAACGATTAATCGGTTACTAAATTAGTTGATTATTTCAATAAGTAATCACAATTAATCCGATAGTGTCAGCCCTAAAATTAACCTAAATGTGATCAAAGTTGTGATTTTCCATCTTGAGAGCCATAAATAAGACTTCAAAAAATGTATACATGTAGGAGGAAAGAAAGAAAAAAAAAGATCCTCATTATAGGACAGGAAACCTTGTTGATCCCTGAAAAAAAATGAGTTCCCTTCTAATTCTCTCATTTTCCATGTCTTCCACTAAAGCCACCGTGTCCTTCGCAAACTACTACACACAAGTGCCGTGTCACCCAGCCCTAATTAAATGTCTGAGAGCGATTAGGATTCAGTGTGGCTTCACCATCTGTGTCGCATTTCTCACTTCCTCCAAACTAAGTGTACCCACAGATCAAAGGGACCATGCAATGTTTTCCTGTAATGTGAAGCATGCAAGTTTCAGATCCAGCAAGCTTTATGAATCAGACCATCTCTGCTGTGGAAAAGACATCACCACAGCATGATGTTGCCACACCAATACTTTACAATATAAACTGTTTACTGCACACATCAAACAAGCCTCATTCCTTTTTCTATCACAAGAAAAATGATTAGATATTGTGGAAGTAATGGGAAAATTAGCTTTCAATTAGCTACAGATAAAAGCTACCCATAGAAAAACTATCATCTACTACCCACACAGTCAAGAAATGGAAGGAGGGGTTATTTTATGACCTCTAAGACACAAACAGGGGGGCCATCTTCATTTTGTCTCCTGTCACAGATCAAATCGGTGCAACCCTTACAATACCAGATCTTAAAAAGCAGCAAATAGAGCAAATTATATATTCATAACAATCTCTCTTGCCAAGCTTTGTTAATTAGTGCCATTCAGTAAGGATCAGTGAAATACTCACTCCTCCCTCGGACCCGGCCAGCGCCAGTCCCCTCTCAGCGAGCCTGCGAGTCAGAAGCAGAAACATTAAAGCACTGGTGCAGCTGCATGGGAAGAAGGAAAATACATTTACAAGCCAGGGGTGAAAGGATCTGAGAGAGGCTTGGCGCTCACCTCCTGAGGGCCTGAGCCTCCTCACTCGTCACCACGCCGTCTGTGACAGCTCGGCCACACTTCTGAGGGGTGCAACCTGAGGCGGGAAAACACGAGGGACCCTCTTACAACAAAGCAGCTTTTATAGTGAAATATCTTCTGATCCTCCAAAACCCAAAGAAACTGTGAACAAAACAACTTCATAAAAATAAAAAAGCCACAAAATGTTGCAATTTTCTGGCAGACCTTTTTGATTTAAGTCCAAACCCGGTTTTCCTTAAAAGCTGCAGAACTTTAAGATCCTGGTTCAAGAACTGAAACGAAGTCTGTCCATAACAAAAAAAAATTCAAACACCAATCAGTTGTTTGCTGAAACAAAGCACTGATCAAATGTTTCAAGTCTTTCAGCAACTTCATGTTTGGACTGTAGTGCCACCTAGTGGATGAAAAGGTACATCACTAGAGACCAAATCAGGACTTCTAATTCTGTTTTGCTTATTTTCTGAAACGGTCATGTGAAAATTCTCCTTTTATGCAAATATAGTAAACTTTACACATTGATGAAAGAAATTGGGTTAATTAACTGAAATCAGGCTGTGAATTTACTGGTTACTAATATGGAGAAACACAGGAATATTAAAGAGTTCAACTTTTTCTAAATCTTTTCAGTAAGATGGCAGGAAAGGTGGCGAAGGACACGAGTCTTCTGCTACCAGGCGGCAAACATCCCTGCCACTGCTGCCCCAAAACTTTGGACCAGTTTACCACTTCATAAACAAACCACTGAGAAAGGGATGAATGATTATTCAAAATGAATATAATATCAAATACGATTAGACCATTTTTGTTCCCCCTTAACTTTTATTATTAAAAATAAAGACTTTCAAACGCTAGCTGTAGCGGCACTCCAGCTCCTTCAGTTTCTTCTGTGCTGCCTGGAAAAACAGTCTAGCAACAAGTATTGAAACAACAAGATACTATTCTTCAACTTGTGATGTTTAATAAAAGAAAACAAAAATAAAAGACAATCCACATTATCATAATATAAACTCAGTCAAAAACTGCGTTGCTTCCAGCATATCTGTTTTCCCCTCAGTTATTTAGTACGAGCAACCAAAAAAAAAAAAAAAAACACACGTATAGAATTACGACATGCAGGAAGCCCAAAAACATGCATTTCAAATTGCATTTCTATATTCTATGTTTTTAATATTAGACTTTTTAAACTTAAATTATAATCTTAACAACAAAAATGTATCAATGTTGTATTTTAACCTTTTTACAACTATAAATGAATTTGTCTCAAATTGGCTCTTACACTAGCTCTAATTTTAATCATCCGCTCTAAGAGGTAGCCTTAATTTAAAGGGCAACCAAACTCCAGCTGAAAAAAATGCTGTAAAACAATCAGGTTTCCCAACAAATGATTAAAATGTAAACTTAATGTTTGAATCTAATGGTATTAACCACTGAGCTGGTTTAAAAGTTAAAATGAGACGTCTAAGAACAGAAACTGATGAACTGATGTCAGATTAAACTATGGCAGCCCAAGGAATCCGCATTTGTTTGCCACTAATCACAACATATTTTTATATTAACGAGAATAAGACGTTTTTATTAAGAATAAAAGCTTTAAAATTTAGGGACATGGTTAAATGTAAAACTTTACAATATATTTATAATTTAAAGAAGCAACCTGGGATTGGTTTAAAAGTAGTGAAGTGTTTGTTTTTTAAAGAGTAAAGGATGAGCCGCATTTTTGGGTTGAACACAGAACAAACATGGATTCAGAAAAAAAAAAAAAGACTGTTCAAAACTTATTAAATATAAAAAAAAATGTTTGAAGAAAAGAAATCTAAAATCCTATCCTTGAAAGGGAGCTGATCATTGTTGAAAAAAACCCAGCAGAGGACAGCGTAGAGGAGGGCGGAGCCTCCCAGGAGGGCGGCTCACTCCAAAGGACCTCAGCCTCCTCAGGAAGAGGCGGCCCTTTTTGGACAGGGTATTGATGTTAGCAGTCAGTCAGCTCATTCAAATTCTAATAAAATGTTTTAAAGATGAATGAAATAAGCTTCTTCTTCTGTCCTTTCAGACATTGTGAAAAATGTTGATTAGTTTACTTTCTTTCAATAAGATCTCTGAAGACTGAACTGATCTGAACAGAAGTTGATCTTAACTTTGCTCCCCTTTACCGTGAAGTTGTTTGGTCCATTTTGTTGCCTTTATCTGCTATAGCCAATAAATAAAAACTCTCATGAAAGTATTTTGGTCCATTCAAAAAAAGAAACATGCAAATATGACCCCTTCGTCTGTTTCAATTTGCATGTTTTTTAAACTAAAACAAGGCTTTTTTGGGCTACTGTACAAAACCTCAAACTCAACGCTAATCCTGACATTTTGAATTGAAAAAGCTTCTTGGATGGGAAGCGAAATGTCTTCAAACTTGGAAACAAAGTCCATTGGATTTTCTTTTTTTACTTTCTTTTTTGGAATGACTTTGATCTGAATGACTGAGAATCTTCACCAATATATTGCTGAATATTGGTTATAGCTAGACTATAACGAAAAATCTATTAGATTTACTTAAGGTATACATTTTGTGGTTCTTGTAAACATTAATCTATAAAAAAAAAAAAAAAAAACTAACCTCACTAAAATAAGCTTCCCCTCTGCTTCGCTTTATAGAGTTTATAGAGTCGAAGTGAAATGATTCTGAGAAGAATCAATGCAATAAAACTCATGAGATTCATGAGACTCATGAGTAAATGAGAATAGAGCTCAATTCATTTTAAGTTTAGTTTAAAAAAAAAAATGTCAATTGATCCTAAACGGAAATATAATGCTGCAACTCATGTTTTTTGCTTTTTTTTTTTTTTTTTAAGTTGTTTTTTTTCTGTTTATAAATGTATGAATCACAATTTCAACCAGTGAGTCTTTATGGACCATCATGTCAAACCCACGGCCCCATGGATTGCTCTGTCAGCTAAAGGCATGTTTTAGAGTCTCTACACTCCAGTTAACAATTAATCAGTTACTAAATTAGCTGATGATCATTTCGATAATCAATTAATCAGGATTAATCTGATTGTTTCAGCCCTAACTTTAATGGTGACATTCAGAGCCAATAGTGCCAACTAATACAATACAGATGGTAGGTTTTTAACAATTTCCGACTAATCTTACAAAAAGTGTATAAATTTATGATTGTAACATCATTACTTTGCATTTAGAAGGAAGGTTGCCACATCACATCAGGAACTGAGTTTATTGCGCTGCTGACAGCCAAAGGAAGAGAGAACACGATTGAAGGATTTAGTAATAAGACGAAAGGAGATGAGTCTGGTAAGGAATTTAAAGAGGACATAAAAATTCAAAATCTGCCTACAGAAAATTGTCTAAAAATTGAAACCTTTATAAAACCACTGCTAACACATTTAGGTCAGAGTGTCAAAGCATTTTATCAATGCAAACAAACTGAAAGAAGCTTAAAAAATAAATAAAAAAAAACCCTTAAATATAAATAATAATATAAATTTAAGACATTTTGGTAGCTTCTTTCAAAGGTTAATGTGAAATAAAATGTCTGTACCAGTTCAATAAGACAGAAGCAAACCTTTGCCAAGTAAGAAAAATAAAGCCGGGCTCTAAATTTGCAGAGAAAAAACTGATTTCTGGAAGATTGCTCTTCAAACGGAGAAGTCTGAGCTGAATTATTTAAACTTCCCATCAGAGGACATGTTTAGCTTCCTTGATAAATTACCTCATAGAACCAGACATAAAAGTTGGATAAATCGTGATCTTCCACCTTCCATATGATCTTCCAGGGTAGATTCAGGATCTACCAGGTTTCAGGAAATTGAGAGCCTATCTGAAGCAAAACTGGACGTTTCCAATGATCCAGAACCAGGCAGTCAATCCATTAAGGACTGGTTGAGAATTAGGAAATGGAAGTCCAGGTCTTAGCCAAAGCCTAGATCTAGGTGTCAAAGAATGGTGTGAGGTGATCTGAAACAGGCTGTTCAGCAGAACGTGTCCTCATGAACTGAAACGGGTCATTTTGGGTTCAGTGTAAATACGCCTTAAACACCATCAGCCTGATCCACAAACGGGGCCTAAACAGAGAAACAGGAGCCTCCGAGGAGGTGGGAGTGTATATAAACTAGTACATACTTTCATTATTGTGTTTTTCAAGTATTTAATGTTCCTTATTACTAATTCTGTTTAAAGTCCTTGCTGTATTGCAGCATCACCCGATGTTAAAAGAAAAATGTCTCCCAAAAGAAACAAAACAATAACTTATCCTAGCTCATCTAAAGAAAGTAATAATCCAGCATAGCGGTACTAGAAGTTGTTCTAGGCTAGACTTTTTTATTTTTGTTAATATATTTGGTTTCCCAGAGATAAAATGTGTAAATGAACTAAAACATTCATTCTAACTCAACATTATGCTGTGAAAGGTGACCCTGACCAATGTTTGCACAGACAAGCACCTCACCTGGATAACGTTTGTAGTTCTCGTAGTCCTCAGAGCACTGGACGTCGTAGACGACGGGCTGAGGGGAGATTGTTTCCCTGCTGCTGACCAGAGTCTCTGTGATGTCACTATCCAAGGCAGCCAAGTAAAGCCACACGGCGACTGCACATAAACCCAAAGTAACCAGAAGCATGAGCAGGATCCCCCGAGAGCCCCGCCATGAGGAGCCCTGTCTCAGAGCGTTTCCTCTAAACAGGACAGAAAAATAGAAAAGTTGGGATCAGACATTAAAGTAAAAAAACAGTTCATAATGCATTTCAGTGCAAGAAAAAAATACATGGCATGGGTGTTGTGATACAATACGTCTCACGATGATATCACTATATATGGTGATATTTTACCCAGCTATCAAAATGAAAATTAATTGCTGTTTATGTTCGTAAGAATCCATGTTGTTTTGGGTTTGAGTCAGTTCATGTGTCACTACCCGATCCGTCACAGAAGCCCGATGAACTTTTAGGTGCTGGAACCAAAAAGTTCATGCAAAGACCTACACTCTCTGATGGTATAGTCAAAGTCTGGGGGATTGCTTTCTCTCAGCTGTCTGCTGTGATTCACAGCCCTTATGAGGCTTTAATCACTGATGTCTTCAGACATGTGAAGCCCCCCCCAAGGGGCACATGTTGGCTTTGAACCGCCTCATTTGAGCTGGATTGTATTCAGGGGGATCGGAGTAAACGGGGACAAACACAAAAAGACTTTTTGTGTTTGTCCCCCCAGGGGCTGAGCTTAATAGGGGGCCATATTTCATATGTTATGTTTCTTGACAACAAAAACACTGTGGTCAATTATGCACATCAATATACAAACATTAAAGATGATAAATAAGGAAATCATGCTCTTTTCAAAACTAGATTTTACTAGCTTTTTGCTAACCCCCAGTGTACATTAGATATTCCCTGGCCACCATTTTTAAATTTTGCTAGCTACGCCTCTGATTTGCCAAACAAAAGCCATGTAAATTTGTGGCTTTCAGTCTACAGTAAGGGAAAGCACTACTTGTCAAACTTGGAAGTTTGTTATAAAACCTTGTTTTTATTTTGCTTATTATTAAAAATGAAGGCCATAATTAATCAGACTGACGTGGGAAACTTCTTTTATCGTCCAAAACTGGAGTTTTTGCTCCATTCCACTTCTCCAGTCCCTTTTCATTTGGACGTTAGTTCAGTTTAATCAACTTACCTTTTAATTTTCCTCTCTATCTCTGCTGCATTGGGGCCCTTTGGGTTCCTCAGTCGTATCAGAGCCATTTCGCCTCAGAGCTAGCATCCACTGCCAGCTGCTCGCTGACACGCAGCACACACCCCGCCAACAGCTCGTAACGCAGTCGGGAGCTCCACACTTCCGGTTACCATCCTGTCAGCGCACGCTATTGGCTAATCCCGAAATGAAAGCGTCGCTTCCATTGGTCCACGTAGGGAGCACTTCCTTTACAGCTGCTGGAACCAAACAGACTTTACAACCACAGAAAGCTGCTTTCTTGCCCATCAGCTCAGTTTAAATCGTTCAAATTTCCCCATTTCCCTCTGATTTTCGAACTTTATCATCGCTACCTCTGAGAACTGTCCTGGTAGCTTTTATTCCAGGTGTCACCTGACAAGGTAGGCTCTAATGAAAGGGGGAAAAAAACATTATTAGGTGGCGCATGTTCCAATTGGTCTCTTATTTCCTTTTGCTGTCGTGAAAATCATAATTTCTTATGCAGGATTTTAAAACAGTTTTACTTGTTTGATTTGTTTCTGCACCTTTGTTGGATCATTGCAAAAAAAAAAAAAAAATCAACCGCAAAAATATATTTAATGATGAATTACAGTGAATATAAATGAGGATACATATTTTTATGTATGGAGTCAGGCTAAAAGGTCAATTTTCTGTGTGATCTAGTTTAATTTGTCTGATTTTAATAAACGTTGTATTGCAACACATTAAACATGACAGTTAAGGACCTTATAGACTATCCCCTAATCCAGATGTTATTAAACTGAATGAGATATATTTCATTGCATTAGACTGTGAGCAGATCTTTCTAAGTTGTCAATTGAAGTTTATAAAGTAAAATATTTTTTTTCCCATTAACTATTTTGTATTTCAGTCTCATTCCTTTAACTCTTGTGTTGTTTTCATTAACTAAGCCATCTTAGATCAAAACTTTTCTTCAATCCCTCCATGAGCTACAGATCCAGCTGCAGTGGATAATAGTAACTGGAGTCCTAGAGCCTTCCTTAGAGCAGGCGCCAAAAAGATTAAAAGTGCCCACCACGAAATAATTAAACGTTAATTAGTTAAAAAGGTATTTAGTTAGAAGTTTTATTGTCTTTGTTCTGCTAAGTTTTCTTTGAGTTTTTAGTTTCACGTTGATTCATGTTTTCTTTGTTTTATTGTGTTAATTTTGTTGTGTTTTATCTGGATGTATTTGAGTTCTTAGGTTTTTCTTTGTTGCCAACTTGTAGGGTCCTTTTCCCCTTGCTCCTTTCTAGAATCCTCTGTTCACATCTGCTCCCGATCGTAGGTGGCCGCAGACAGGAGGCCTCTGATTGGTCAAATCTACATCCGCTTGCCAGCTTGTTTTGTGTGTATGACCGCAATTGCGGAAAACGACTCGTGAAGTTGGACCAGCTAGCGCGAGAACGCTGGGACCCTTTTTGCACCTGGATCCCTGCTCTTTTTCACCCTCATGTCCCTCCGTTGTCGGACAAACTCACCCCACTTCCTCACCACCTCGGCCGTATCTAGAACCACAGCTAGTTCCTGATTGTCCCTCTGGCAATGTGGCATGGAATATACCATAGCTCAGATCACACTTCAATATTTAGCATAAATCAAAATTGTCTTCAACAACTTCCCTGCGACACACTGCTGCGGGGAGTATAACCAGCCCTTTAGTCCTGTCTTTGTTCAGTCAGCCATAAATACTCTCCCTATGCAGTTCCTCAGTGCTGGTTCCTCGTCTTTCCCCGGCTTCTGGTGCATGTCTTCTCTGATGTCTCCATGGTTCTGGTTTGTCTTGCTTTTTTTAAGTTGGACTTTTGGATTCCTGCCTCTGTTACCTGTGAACACTCCATTAAAACTACATGAACTCACCTCTGCCTCCCTGCCTCTGCATTTGGGTCCTTAAAACCTCAACCAAACCCCAACAAGAAGGCTGCTCAAATACTGAGTAAATCATGGCTGCTCAAGTGCAGTCCTCAAGAGCCACCATCCTGTAACTTTTAGATGCTCCTCTTCTCTAGCACACCTACATCTAAAGCCTCAATCCCCTCATTTAGCTCAGCAGAGGCCTGGTTTTTTATAATTGAACTAACATGTTACTAGCCACCTCTGATAATAGGAGATAAGTAGATTGTTTCATCGTTGGGTGGTAAAGCCTTTATGAAGCATAGTTGCCTTTAGAAAAGGACGTTTTAACACCTGAAAGAGTTGAGTAAGGCATCACCAACTACAATGGTACAAATAGTTAAAAGGATAAAATAACCAGCCCCTGTAATAATAAGTTGATTTTCAAACATATTCTTGTTTGCAAATTCATTGTAAGGTAAATTCATCAAATTTTTTCCATGTACACAACATGAAAACAGGACGTAACCATTGAATGAAATGTGTTGAATGGGATTTTGAAGGGGAGTCTCCCTGGCAGATATGAACCGTCCTGTTTCTATTTTCTCCATGAATAAGTCAAGTTTTCACTGGTGAAGTGCTAAAAAGACCAGGATCCCCTTCAGCTCTTGCTAACTAATGCCTTTTGTTCAGCTGTCTGTAGAATGAGTCCTCCATGGCCTAAAGGGAAGAAACTTGTCCACCTAGATTTGAAAGGCGCCCCACCACGGATCGGGTACCTTCATAAGGTGATCTTTCTCTCTTTCCTCTGATTCCTGCTTGGTGGTTCCTGCTCACAGTTTGTGTTTTGATTTTCTTTTTGGTTCTCAGCTGATCGAGCTCTTCTCTCGGCTGGGTGCTGACGGCCTGCTGGTGGAGTATGAGGACATGTTTCCTTATGACGGAGAGCTGAAGCTCCTGCAAGCTACAGCGCATCCCGCTTACAGGTGCAGATCGATGAAAATAAAATATTGGAAAATGTAAATTAGAAAAATGAGTACACTTGAGCAGCTAAATACTGTGATAAGCAAATGGAATAAGTATTTTTTACATTTAAAATAAAATAATGTGGTATTATACAATTGAAATAAGATAATGACGTTTCTCCTTCTTTCAATTTAAACCTAAATTATCTTGTTCCATTGACAAAGTGTCTTAAGTTCTAAATACCAGGGAAAACACTTATAAGACACTTATTCAAAAAACAAACATAAACTTGCTTATATTTAATTTTTTGCTGTGAGTAACATACGGATGATGTCACTGAATCCACACAACTTTCATTTAACATGAAATGCAATAATCCTCTGTAATAACAGGGTTTCCCCGGGTCATTAATTAGCATTAGAATTCATTAAATGTGATTATGGTGGCATTTATAATCCTTTATTTAAAAAAAAAAAAAGTTTATAAAATAATTTCGTCAGATATATTATATCCAAATATGTTTGCGTTGAACTGCTTCCGGTTGGTCGTAAAGTTGTATGTTCGGAAAAGAAGCTCGAGACGGAGAAAAAGCTAGAGAGTGGGGACATGTACATTTCAACAAAAGTGGCTGGAAAACAAAAAATATATATGAGAGTCATGGATACTTGTGATGGCATTGAAATAATTTCTAAGAACATTAAAAAGCATTAACTTAGAGTTACTCATTCCTGTATAAACAATGAATAAATTAATCTTTTTTTAGGTTACTTTAAAGAAAAATGAAATTTATCACTTTACAAATCAAACTTAATTTTTTATAATTTGGATTTAGAGTTGTGCTCTTATTTGGTTATTTTAACTCATAAATATCCTTTGATCTAAGCATTTGCATTATAGCTATCGATCGTTTTATGTCCAGTAAATGTTTTCTTGTTAGAATGTGTTTTATTTCTCTCCCAGCATCACAGAAAAGATGATTTTCTGAGAGATAGACGGTTTTAGATTAAGTCACAGTTGTCTCTATAGGGGGCTGGATATTGAAATTCCTGCTATTCCCATTCCTGATGATATTTTACTGATAAAATGATTTGAAAACCTTCCCTTTTTCTTACAGTTTTGCTCTACTTTGACTTTTTTTTTGTTGAACAATTATCAAAAAAAGTTTTTGTTATATTATTTATTCCTTTATTGCTGTAGGTTGAATTAAAAGTAGAAGACGAGTAAAAGTCTGCTGAACAGTATTCAGTATTTCCATCACAACCTCCCCGCTGGGGGGGGGGGGGGCATGGCCGCCATTAGCCAATCTATGGCCACCCCTGCCATGTTTTTTTGTCCTCTAATACAGATGGTGGCAGCATTAATACTCCAAAGTGGAATATTCAAAACATTTTATTTTTTTGTGGTTAATTATACACATCAATATACTAACATCAAAGGTGATAAGTACAGAATTCCTGCTTTTTTCAGAACTAGATTTTGACTTTTATGGGGTAAAGAGAAAATGATGTGTCTCTGCAAGTCATTTGGGAGTCTTCAGTGAAATCATAGCTAAATAACAATATTATATATATAAACTTATGAAATAATCAATTTATTTAGATATTAATGCTTGTAAATATCACTTTTATGCAGAATGTTTATTGATATAAGTAGGTAAGTAATGACAAGGGAAAAGATTTACGCCCCAGAACTAAAAACTGAGTTTTATCCACTATACCTTTTATTTAGAAATTAAGGGTGTTGAAATATATGTGTCTATTTGTTAGCAAAGGCTGTAGGAAGGTATAGTTTGTCTTTATTTAGAAAATATGGATGTTTTGCTTATTAGTTTTCCTGTTGGAAGAGTTTAGATTGACCCTGAGGTTCTGGTGCCAATCCGATTTTCGGCCACTCCTCAGTTTACATTGGTTATTGCCTGGCCACCATTATTAAAATGTTCTGGTTACGACTCTGTTTAGGATTAGGATTTATTTGGTGATAGCAGCTTACTGAGCCTACTGATAGGTAGGAGCCAGAATCTGGAGCCATTCTATGGAACTGATAACCGCTAATAATCGCCATTAATAATCGAAGCAGCTGATTGTCATTTGTTTTAATTTAAGCCGAGAGGAGGTGATGTCCATTCAGGAATCTGCCAAAGCAAGGGGCATGGAGGTGATCCCACTTGTGCAGACCTTTGGACATATGGAGGTATGCTAAAAACCTGCACATTGTTTCTGTAAATTCTTAAAGAAGTCATGTTTTTTCGAAGCTGCATGTTTCTCTTCACATAGTTTGTGTTGAAGCATCGGTCGCTGTGGCACCTCAGAGAAGTCCCGCT